TTTCTTTTTTTTTTTTTTTAAAGTCTGGCTGAACTAATACCAGTTAAGTAGTTTCAACAACAGCTTGGAAAGAGTCAAAACACCTGCTCCCACACACAGGTTTCTATTCACACTTGCAGAATAATCACTCCTTAACTAAGGAGCCTGCGGTCCAGGTTTCTAACAGAAGAGAAGGAGGCCAACAACCATTAGCAGTGAAAACATGTTTTCCACAGAGCTAGCAACAGACTCCCCACATCACACACACACAGCAGCACCCCAGGGATGCCACAGACCCTGATTGCCCAGACACAGAGGTGGGTGACATTACCTTGGGAGTGTACGGGGTGTCACAGAGCCGCAGCTTCTTCCAGGTGATGTGCAGCGGTGTCTCAGCATTGCCATGGCTCCTGGTCACACCCACAGGAGACTTCAGGGTAGGACTCACCCAGGCTTTGGTCCTGCTCAAGAAAATCTCACCGAGTTTCCTGTGAGGGGTTGCAGGGAGAGGGCTGTCCCCTTGCCACTTCTGGGAGTCGCAGCTCCTGAGAGGGCTCAAGGCCAGGGCATCCTCCTCGTGTATGCTTCTGTCTTCACCCTCTTCGCCACAACTGGAGAAATCCAGCTTCTGAATGAAATCATCACTGCTGTCCCAGTCATCCATTTCACCATACGAAATGGAACAGATAGAGCTGATCCTGGCCTGTTTGGTTAGAGGGAGAAGAAGGCAGCATTGTTTACACAAGCAGAATAACTGCCCCCTCCCTTAGGGCACACACAACTAACATTTAATTGCATTGATTAAGGATTGTCCCAGAACTCCCAACTATAAATCCTTTCAGCTATCATTCATAGGACAACAACAGCTTTGACTTCCACTATACTAGTGCAAACCAAATAAAACCCAGAACTCGCTACCTTTCCCAGTAAGCTTCCAAGGGAAGTTCTCCACCCACCAGCACTTCATCAACTACTGCCATCACAGATACTGAGCTACCAAACCCTACAGAGCAAAGCACGACAACCCTCCCCCACCCTTTTCCCTCTCAAATTCCTCAAGCAGAAAAAGGAGACCCCACTCCACCTACAGCTGTAAAAGCAGAGGGATCCCTAAGCAGTTACCAGACACCTTACAGGGAACCCTCCTCCTGCGCATTTATAACCACCTCACACCTGCCCCATTGCTAATGGGAAGCAGCTGGAGCTCGGCAGCACCTGTGTATGGCTGCTGGTGGCTGGGGGGCTGCCGTGGGTCTGGATCTGCTGTGGGTCTGCAGCCAGCTCTGCAGGGAGCCGGGGCTCCCTCTGAGTCATCCCCTTGCTTCTGCACGCTCTTCCCTCCTCCAGCTTGCCGGCCCTGCGGGGAGGTGATGTTTGCTGACAGCCAGGCTGCTTCGTGTCAATCCCACGGGGGATGCAGTCTCCGTGGGCTCAGCTTACATAAACGATCAGTCTGATGTGGACGGACCCGCTTAGGTCTGAATTTGGGCTTCCTGCGTTTAGACGTGTGTTAATTTGGAAAGCATTACCGCCTGCACTGGGAGGTTCATAGCCTAAGTTATAATGTGCTAGACTTCGTGAGGGGACCATATGTGGGGCTCACTGTGGGTTCCCATCTCGAGGTGTCACGTATGTGCCCATAGAGGGGGGGGACACTGGCCATGCCGATGCCAGTGGCACACACAGGTGGTCTGCTGTCACTCAGCAGGAGCAGGATGAAGCCTGCATTTTGAACAGGGATCGGAATGAGCTTTAGTGAGCTGGGAACGAGGTTGGAGAAGCCTTTTCTCTTAGCATCAAGGAGGGCTGCTGGAGGGATGTGCAGAAAGTGGAAGCAGTCACAGCCCAGAAGAGACCGGGGCTTGTCAGCATTGGCCTGTGGTTGCCAGTGCACAGGTCAGGGGGAAATCCCTCCAGGAAATAAAGGGACATGACAATCTGAGGTCAATCGACCCTTATGGCCTTTAAATTAAAAGTGTGGCCATCTGGGTCTCTGAAGTTGCCTGCTAAGGCCGTGGCCAGCAGTTCCCTTGACACACAGCACCAAAACGGTATTAGGACATGCCGGGCACTCAGCCTTGTTTTCGCAGCTCGCGTCTGGCCCAGAGGTTGCAGCATTTCTTCCAGGCTCTTGCTGCCACACAGGCCCACTTCTCCGATGGCACTTGCTGTCCTGCTGTCCATTTTTTGCCCTTTTTTGTTGTTGTTTCTGTTGTTCTCAGGGGCTGTGGGTAGCCGTTTCTCTAAGGAGGAATGGGAGGTGTAAAGGAGGAAAGTTGGACGGGGTGTGAAGAAGGCTCTACTCATTACTCTTGCATCTACCTAAAAGCCACCACATTTTCACTTCTTATTTTTTCCAGAGGACTACTAAGATATGGAGATGATTTTCCTAGCCCTCAACTGGAGGGAAAACGTGCTTGTTTTCTGCTGAAAGAGACTTTTTCTCCTCAAACAGTCCTATTCCCTCTGAGCCGAGGTCTTTTTGACGTGCGGATGACAGAGTGGGGAGAAGGGAGCTCCCCTATTTTTGTACAGCAGCTGCCGGAGGTGCAGTTCAGAGGGAACAACCCCCGGGGGGGGCACAAGATGAAGGGAACAACCCCAACCCCAGCCCCATCCCCAGCGCCGTGCCTCAGCCTCAGGCCCCGCCCGGCCGCCATGTCCCCGCCCGCCATCCCCGCCTCCCGCCGGCCCGGCGCTGCTGGGCCCGGCCCGGCCCGGCTCGGCTCGGCGCGGCCATGGTGGAGCGGGGGGATGAGGCGCCGCTGCTCTTCTGGGCCGAGGGCCCGGCCCTGGGGGTGCCGCCGGCCGCCCCCGATGCCGGAGGAGGAGGAGGAGGAGGAGGAGGAGGCGGGCGGCGCCTGGCCGGCGGCTGGAGCGCGGCGCCCTGGGGAGGCGAGGAGGAGGCGGCGGGGCCGCCGCGGGCGGAGGAGGACCCGGACCAGATCGTGGCCGTCTTCGTGGTCACCTTCGACCCCCGCACGGGTGAGGGGGGAGACGGGGATGGGGCGGCTGGGCTGCAGGGAGCCGTGCGGGGGTCCCTGAAGCACCGTGTGGGGGGTCGGGGTGCTGGGAGGGACGGCCCTGAAGGGTGGGCTGCAAGGTGGGCTCTGTGCCCCCACGCCACGGGGCTTCCAAAAATGTCCCCGTCCCGCAGCCCGGGGGGTGCCGAGGTGGGGTTGGTGGCATCTCCCCAGCTGGGGGGGTTGTCCTCAGTGTCCAAAACAGCAGCAGGTTGTGTGTCGGTGAGCTGCGTGCCTGCCACGACACGGTGAGATTTCCCTGGCTGGCTCCTGGGGAGCAGCCGCTGCTCTGAGAGAAGTCCAGGGAGAGTTGGGAGCTGCTCCCCTCACGTCCCGTCCGCAGTTTGTGCGGGGTGCCATCGGCCTCGGAATAGCCCCTCACGTCCAGGAAGACTCGGTAGCGGTGCTGAGTGTGAGGGGCACGATAAGGCTGCGAGGGACACATCCACAGATCGCAGCCTCACGGGTGGGAGGCGTCCCCGTGGAGGATGTGGGCTCGGAAAGAAGATTTTGGAGCTGTGGTGGTGTGGGGTTGTTGGGGCCAAGAGCAGGAACTCCTGGGTCAGCCGTGTCACATCTTGTAAAGGACTTGTGCAGGGCACGTGGAGCACCTGGTCCCCAATGTGGTAACTGGGCAAATACAGACCGTAACAGGTTCCTTCTGAATTTAAAAGGGTTTGAAGCAGACAAGCTCAGTGCCTCCAGCAGGTGCATGTGCTGGGCATGACCTGAGGCAGCGTCTAGACCAGTGGTGGTCACCCCACTCCCAGCATGGTAAACCCGTGGGACTTGAGAGGGAGCTCTTTTCACGGCTATTACAAGGACAGCTCTTGCATTAATGTGCTGTGAGCTAAGTGCAGAATGGTGGCAGCCCGACAGCCAGCCACGCAGCCTTCTCTTTGCTCCCTGACCATCGGCAGCCCTCTCCGTAAGGGAGTAACGAGCTGGGAATGTCCTGAGACTTGAAAAAGTGCGAGCGCCTGGTCTGTGCAAACACTGCCCCACAAAGAGCGCAGTCACAAGGTGTTTTAATGAGTTTAAACTGAATTTCCTGGTACACATGTTCTCTCAGGCAGTGAGTAACTGGAGGCCCGAGATTATGCTGGGCAGCAGTGGGGATACATCCGCTGGTGTGACCTACTTGGCGTTAGGCTCCAGCCCATGTGCTCTGCTAGACTCATATTTGTCTTGGGTAAAGCAAACAAAAGTGAACAGGACAATAAATTCTGCTGTGGGAAGAAGATAAAGAAAGATAAAGTGAAGTCAATGGCCACATCCTCCCTATCAGAATACTGCAAAAGAGGCTGAACTGTCTTAGCCCCTTTTCTGCGATGGTGATGAGAGACAACCTTGTGGAGGTCCTGCGCAGTCTGTTGGCTTACGGGGTGATGGGAGTAATGGGGAATGAAGTGAGGGAAGAAATTCTTTTTCTAGCAGTAAACATAAAAGTGATGGTTTTCTGTCCTGCATTTCTTCCAAGTGGGAAACTGAGCCAGAATACTGCTAGGTCTCACTTGGTGCTTCTCCTGTCCTGGCACAGCACAGTAGCACTGCGTGGCTGGGGACCCTAAAGACCTTGGGAAAACCTAGTGGTGAGGAGGGCCAGGTGATGACTACACTGCAGCCACCAAGTGCTAGCACTGCAAGGATATAAAACTCCAGGGGAGAGAAAGGACAAGGAAAAGAGGAAGAACATCCTTAACTTTGCACACCAGAAACCAAGAGCACTGTTTCTGACTTGGCCTGGTGCTGGGAGATCTCCAGATCTCCAGGTTTGTCTCAGCAAAACCTCTTGCCAGCTCTCTAGCACTGCTTGACTCTCACTTGGAAAGTTTCCTGCGTGCACGAGAGCTGCTCTATGCCCAGAGAAGGAAAATGCTTCCTGTTTTTCTGCATTACTCTCTCCTCCCTCCTCTTGTTTTTCATGCAGGCTGGCAGTTGCTATTGCATCTGGGTGAAGTCTCTCCTTTGTTTGCTCTGCTGTTTCACCAGACTGACTTTCTTTTTTTTTTTTTTTTTAATCTCCTCGTTTGCTCTCCGACTGCCACGTCGCCAGTACATTCGTAGGGCAAGGTGGCGTGAGGAACTGCCAGGAGCACAGGTGTGGATTGCTTATGTCAGCTCCCAGTGACAGATCCCAGGGAAAAAAAAAAAAAGCTACCTGATATGCAAGTAGGTTTCATGGATATGCATAGGTTAAGGCTCTGTTTCGAGACATCTTTTCCCTCCTTGCTGTTGCAGCACACCTGTTGTTGGAGCCGTGTCCACATCGACGCCTCTAATAAATGGTATAACGCTTCGCAGCAGTACTTCTGACTAAACTGAGTAAAGTTTCCTGTGCTCGATGGTGCTCCTGCTTACAGATGTATTAATATACAACCAATACAACCAGTAGGTGATTCTCTGTGATGCGAGGCTTAAGAGAGGATCTAGCCCTAACCCCAGTTTTGCGGTTACAAGGCGGTAGCCTTCCGGGCTTACTTCCTGGCTCTGCCAAGGAAGGGTCTTGTGCCTTTAAAAACAAAACGAACCCACACAACAAAAGCCAACATCTATATATAATATGCAAAGCCTACAGGGGACCGTGCAGGCTGCCATGATGTCACTGGCTTTCTCTGCCAGCCTTTCACACTTCTTAAAGGCGACAGGTGCCTCCGCTCCGTGCCTTCCCCCGGCGGTGCCCAGGGTCACCAGGCTGCTGCTGCTGCCCCCCAGCTGGCTCAGCGCCGTGGGAGAGGTGTGCTCGGGGACTGGGAGCTCGCAGCTGGATGCAAACTCTCTCTGGTTGCCGCACTTCTGCTGCTGTGTTTTGAAGTCCTTGCCAGGCAGGGCTGGGGGAGGTCTGCTGAATACAATATCTGCGTGAGAAGAAAAATAGCCCGCTTAAATGTCAGCAGCTAAACCCAATTCCTGTGCGAGTTTGCATGCATATACTTATGCGGGATGAGTAATAACACAAGAGGCAGGCCTCAGAAATAGAGCTATTTAAACATGAGGCATCTATTTCTAAAAGTCTGGGCTAAGCACAGGGCCCTTTCAAACGTACATGCTGTGTCCACGCAAGCACGGCTGCGAGGCTTATCCCTAAAGGCAGGAGGAAGGACTGGGCCAGTTGAAAGCATCTTTGTGCTGTATCTTCCATTGTGTTATATACCAAAGAACTTTATTTTTCCATTTGCTTTTAAAAATAATTTTCATTATTTTAAAACCACTCAAATGAAAACATGATTTCAAATACCAGGGGCTGAGCCTACAGCACACGTTGCTGCAGTAGGGGTGTCCAGAAGAGCAGGTTAGGCTCTGAATTGTATGGAAAAGCCTGAGAAGTGCCCATTTTCGTCTGTTGTAAACTTGTCAGTGGCAAGGCAGGACTTTGTCAGCTTTAGGGACTTTTTGTGACCGCTCTGGTATCATCTGTTCCAGGATCAGGCCCCTCAGGTGGCCTTTTCTCTTGAACTGGGTGCTTTCTATCTGGGCTGTCAGGTGACAGGCATTTGCTAGTTTTGATCTAGTTTGTAATTCATGTGCTTTTTGTGTGGTTATTCTAGCATGCACAAACATGTTGCAGTGCTTGGAACTCCCCTGGCCTCCAAATCAAGCTTTAGCTAACTCCTCCTTCCCTTCCAAAAAAATAGAGAGAAATTCTAGGGAGTACTGACGATCAGGATGCTGGTTTAGGGGTTCCTGTTTGATCCTATAACGGGTAGCCAAAGGGAGATATTGATGCTGCTATGATCTATCACATAAACTCACCCTAAAGAGCAGCAGTCTATGGTTAGGGCTCTGTCTGTATCAGATACTCACGTAGGCAGCCTGAAGGGAACAGTATTGGTGCTACACCCTGTGCACTGTCAGAGTGCCTGGTGGGGCAGAACGGTAGCTGCTCTGTGATAGTGTATAAAGAATAAACCCATAAAGTACCACTAGGCTCCAAAACAACCGGGAAGTTTTTGCAACATCTGGGTGTTGTGCTGCAACAAGTAACATTTGCAAGAGAGGTGCTGGGTACAGTATCACTGCCTCTGTCCCAAAACAGCTAAGGAGTTCAGGAGCTGTGTTGGTTCAGTGATGCTGGCATCCCAGCCGTGTAAAGGCAGCAACTTGCAATTGCTGGTGTTGACCCTTTGCTAATGAGCACTGCATCCATGCTCACTCCAATAAATTTGCTTATTTGCAGGCAACATGGTGGAATGGTGTTTACCTCAAGATATCGATTTGGAAGGCGTGGAATTCAAATCCATGGCAAGCGGGTCCCACAAAATCCAGTCAGACTTCATGTGAGTATCTCAGAGCTATCCTGCTGCTTCCCTGAGCTGTGCATCTACACCACCATCCCTTGATTCAGGACATGCAAGGAGAATACCATCTATGAAGTTAAATTCCTGCACTGCCCTGCTGCTAACCCATATCTAGCTAAGCAAAAGATACAGATCAGATTTGCTCAACAAGGTACAAAGTACCAGCGAACTGTGTGGGATCTGCTTCCTGACAGCTTTGAGCTGTGGAGGTCAGCCAGTGAATGGGGAAGGCCAGCTTCTCAGTGATGTGCAAATTTTAATGCTTATTGGGCAAATCTGCACTGCACTGCAACCTTTCAGACAGTCAGCAGAGACATGCTGTGAAGGAGAGAGAATGGCAGGAAGGATTTTGCAGAAAAAAAGAACTTAGAAATGCTGTGGTTCTTAATGCTGTCAGTGCTTTTGATCCTTTAAACGTTGTGTTAAATAGGTCCTCACTTACTTCTCCTCCTTTGGTGGGAAGGCTGATGGCTAGTTCTCCATTCTCATGCTTTTGCTAGCCCAGTGCTGCAATGCAGCGCAGTTTTGCAATGAGTTGCACTTACACCATGGCTTTTGGTCAGGAATAACAGTTACTTTCTCAAAGACACATGGATTTAACCTTGCACTCAGCTAGAGCATGCTTCCACGTGCAGACACCCAAAATATGGCTGGGTAGCCAGACTACTCACAACTCCATGCACTGTGGGGTTCTCTTCCTTAAACGAACACCGCTGTGTTGATTGGGTCCTGCATCCTCACCTGGCTTTCCGAGTTCTTCCTTTACTGTCTGCCATGCTGTGACGTGGCTGCTAGGGGCTTTAGTGGCAGAGGCACTGGGAACTCCTGCCTTAAATGTCCTGGCCTGTTCCTGGGAAGGCTGAGACACCCAAGGCCAGCCCTTAACCTTTCAGATAGCAAGGTGGGATTTCAGGGGGTTCCTTAAAGAAGGAACGGCGTTCCCAAATCAGTATTTCTGGTGATGACACAGATACCTGTTGTTCATTCCCATCTTTTAACCATCTTTTAACATTAACTCTTCTGTCAAATGTCTGTCCCCAGTTATTTCCGGAAGGGGCTCTGTTTTGGCCTGGCCTGCTTTGCCAACATGCCTGTGGAGAGCGAGTTAGAGCGTGGTGCCCGCATGAAGTCTGTGGGGATTTTGTCCCCTTCTTACACCCTGCTCTATAGGTACATGCACTTCCTGGAGAATCAGGTCAGGTAAGTTCCCTTGGGTCTGGGACTGGCCACTCCACCAGGGAAAGGTAGCATTGCCCCGATGGAGAGTGGTTTTAGGTGGGAGTGAGGATGTGAGGAAGATGGCAAGATATAATTTGAATGACAGGCTCACTGGAGAGAGGGTTACAATTCACAATGGGGAAGGAGAAAAGGAACCCATTCAGCAGCAGCCTGCTGTTGCTGACAGCCTAGTGGAATGCTATCCAAACCCTACTTACTTTGAAGCACAGTGGGGAAAAAACTGTCAGGGGAAAGCACAAGAAGTTAGCATCCTCTTGTTGAGAGGACAACAAGTTCTCTCTCCTTTTGAAAACTATTTTTCTAAGGGCTCACAAAAAAGCCTGTCACGGTGATCCTGGCCAGGTGTATGCTTCAGCTGCATTGAGCACACCTGGCCAGGAAAATGGTTGTGATAGCAAGGAAAGCTGTTCCTACCTGAACATACTTTGAAACAGGATCAGTCCTATGCGTAAATCAGCTCACTGTCTGCTTCAGTCCTGCCCGTGTTCTTTGACTGTGTTGAAAGTCGGTGTTACCCCTGATCCTCGGGCTCCCCTCCTAGATTAAGTCTGTGCAACTGAGGCACCCGGGGCTCCTTTGCCACGCAGGAAAGCAGATACTGCCCGGGGCAAGGCACTAAATAAGCAGAGTCTGGAGATGCGACAAATCTCCCTTTTTCCTTTCTTTTCCAGACACCAGCTGGAGATGCCAGGGCACTACTCCCATCTAGAGGCATTCTACGATGACAAGAAAGGAGTTCTCCCTGATGGCAAGGGCACTGCATCCCAGCAGCCTGTCCACTGGCTGCCATCCATCCACAGATACATGTACCCCGAGATGAAGGTGAGGCAGGGCCTCTGAGGCTTGCAGGAATGCGCAGCGTGCTGCTGCTTTTTACTGGTGTCTCATACTTCTTTACATAAGCAGTCACCCCAGCACTTTGTAGGCTGCTTTAGATGAGATTTTGTTACTTGGGCTGCTCGAAGCTGCCGTTCCCTCATTGCCGTGTGCTGGTCTTGCTCCCACATTCAGACTTAGACATCTGTGCATGTGTCCCTGTTTCACCTCTGAGCTGTTTTCTTCCCTTTCCCTCCACCTGCAGATCACACACCCTGCTGGCTGTATGTCTCAGTTCATCAAATTCTTTGGTGAGCAGATTCTTGTCCTCTGGAAGTTTGCCCTGCTGCGCAAGCGCATATTGATATTTTCACCACCCCCAGTTGGAGTTGTCTGCTACAGAGGTATGTTTCCAGGGACATCACGGAGCCCTTATATAGTAGGCTGAAGAACTGCAGAAATGCCTGTGGGTATTGAGGGTACAGACATCATGCAGGTCTTAAAAGCCCATCACAACCATTCCTCGTGGAGATACAGTTTGGCCTGCATTTACCTATGTCTTACAAAATGCTTTTCTTCAGGCCTTTTGGGTAAGAACATACCTGGGGCTGTCAAACACGGGAAAATAAGACTGCTGAACCATTCTGTGGGATCCAGAACATGCGATTCCTGTGGGAGAGCTGATTATTTCCTATCCAGGATAAGATGTTCCCACTTGAGAAGTTCTGGTGTTCAGAAGTATTTCAAAGCCTTAACCATTGTTTACATAGGAGCGTGTGGGAGAGCTGGGTAAGCGGGGTTCGTAATGCCCTTGCAGAGACTACTGAAAGCATCTCAGCACATCCTCCTCTTGTCTGCAGTGTACTGCTGCTGTTGCCTTGCCAACGTTTCTCTACCTGGTCTTGGAGGAACCGTCCCAGAGTCCAAACCGTTCTTCTATGTGAATGTGGCAGACATAGAAATGCTGGAGACAGAAGTATCATACGTGGCCTGTAAGTATGATGGGTTAGGCAGAACTTTTTAAACAGCGGCCTGTGAATTAAAACTGAAGATAAGATGTGCATGGAATGACTGTCTGCAAAGGCAGGAGAGAACAGTTGGTCTGCAGGGGAAGCAACATGCTGTTCTGACAAACCTTCTCTGATTTTGGCAGGTACAACAGAAAAGATCTTTGAGGAGAAACGGGATCTCTATGATGTCTATGTGGACAACCAGAATGTGAAGACACATCACGAGCATTTGCAACCACTCCTGAAAATTAACAATGCTGACAAGGAGAAGTACCGACGGCTCAATGACCAGAGGTAACACTAGAGATCTGAGTGATCCTGGTTCCTTTAGCAGAGCAATACTATGTGGGATAGAGAGGACACTCTTCCTTGGTACTTGCCACCTTCTCTTAATATTTTTCAAGTTTTCCACTGCTTCAGCTCATCTCTTTGATTCTGGTTCCACTGTAGCTGGCTGGTATGAGAGTCCCTGGATACTCTGCATACCTGCGATCACTCCATCAGTGAACTGGTGGAGCAGACAGAAGGCAGGAAGAGAAGCAGAGTGTGATTCTGTGACTGATCATTGACGCACCGCTGATCAGTAGCAGAACTGAAAACATTACCCTTCTACCCTGATTTCTAGTCCCGTGCCTTATAAAGGCTCCCTTGCCCGAGATACTGGGCCAGTGGGGCTAATCTGATTTGTCACCAAGAAATGGATGTGAGGTTTTCATTGTTAATCGTTATTTCATAATGCTTTGGGCTTCACTGGAGGCATGTGCATTTAATCTGTCTCCCTTCTCTCAGGCAGATGTTAATGTATTCTCAAGAAGTGGGTGAGGATTGTAGCTCGTGTGAAGAGGACCTCTTCATCTTGTAAGTGGCTACCTCTAACACTTAGTTGGTCACTGTTTGGCTTTGAGAGCATCTTTCACTGATTTCAAGCTGCACTAGTGTAGCATATTATCAGACACCATGGCTAACACAATACCACAGTCAGTTCTGCATTTCTCTAGGGATCCAAGAGCCAAACTGGTTCTACCTTCTCAGCTCATCCCTCTTGCAGTTTGAAGATGCTAAAGGCAGCCATGTGTGTCTCCAATGGGGACTCTTAAGTGCTGGAACAGAGAAAGAAACTTCTAAAACAAAATCAGAAATGCAAGAATCCCCTCCCATTCTTGAAAACGTAAACACCATAGGACTCTTCATGTGAGAAACATTTGGCTCAGGAAATCACAATGTCTGTGGGAAGCAGGCACTGTACCACACTAGGGGAGGTACAGCGTGGAGATAAGACCTGAGTGTGAAGGACTAGCCCATTGATTAAGCTGGCTCTGTACTTGGGACACAGAGGAACCAGAACTGGATGTAAACTGTGAGGTACAGAATGAGATGAAAACCACACCTATACCACCTCTGAAGCCCTCCACTGCCTGTTGCTATTGTTCACAGGCTGCAGCAGCTGGTGAGAAGTTCTAGGATGAAATTGTTTGAGGGACTGTCAGGGCAGAACTTTGTGTTGAGATGCACAGATGTAGTCAGAGCTCTTTCTGAAAAGCCTTTTGTGTTCCTAGGAAAGCACTATGTAAGAAGTAGCTCCCTTTGTTGTGTTCTGCTCCAGTAATGGAGAATTTATGTACCCAAGGGCTTACTTAGAGGGATAAAACCCATTGTTTCTTCCTTTGCTTTACGGAGCTATAGGTCTGATATACCCACTTAATTACCACAAAGTAATTGTCAGCTCTAGCTGACAACAGTGGCTTTCTTCTGAAAAGTGAAATGCCTATCATAAATCAACCAGACAAAAGCACCCCTGTAAATTAAAAGTTACTGCTTTGTTTATTCCACCTTCTGTTACAGGGTGGATAGAAACCTACTACAGTATCACCTAGCAGGGTGGGATCTGTGCTTAAAGTGGGTTAAACATGATTCTGGGGCTCTGCTGCCTGTCTGGTAAATACGCTGTCTTTCTGGGGTCCAATGCCATCATCTCAGCTGACTTTACCCTACAGGTTTTTCATGGAGCAGAACAACCGGATATTTCAGACCCTGATGGAAGTGTCAGCCAGCCAGGACAAGACACTGACAGCTGACCACGCGCGAGGCATGGGTCTGGATCCCCAAGGGGATCGAAGCTTCCTTATGGACCTCCTGGAAGTGTACGGCATTGATGTTATGCTGGTCATTGACAACCCCTGCTGCACTTAAACCAAGGGCCAGAGAGATGGGGAACAAAGATCACTTTTTAAAGACTATCAGACATTGCTTAGGGGCATCACTGGAACTCACCACAGCCACTGGACATATCTCTTTTTATTTAATAACTCTATATGGAAAGTATTTATAATTTTACAACAAAATGTGATTTTATTTTTACCACCTTGATTTCCCTGAGAAGTATCTGATTCCATTTTTTGTTGTTGTTTTCATCTCCCCTTCTTTTTCATTTGTGTTTTTTTTTGTTGTTGTTTAGATAGGACCAGTGGCACCCCTGCACCAACCCTCAGTGGTGCCAGTGATAGCTAAGTTTTGGCCTAGTCTGGATGCCTGAGGGCTGAGGACTTCAGGAAAGCACTTTGTCTGATGGGGACCAATGTGAAATGCTGTTGCTGAGCTCTCAAGACTTGATTGGAAAAACCATCCTATCATTCTCTCTTCAACGTGGGGACTGAAGAGAGCTTCAGCACAGGCTGTTAGCAGCCCAGTCTCCTAAAACATCTCCTGTCCCACCACGCTTTTGGGTGGGGACAGTTAAACCAATGATAAAGAACGGGACTCCTTTAAACACCCCTCAACCAGCTTTCAGCAGCCGAATTGGAATAAAGCCACCCTTCCTCATCAGTGGCAGAAGCAATGCTGGGCTGAGGGGGTGCTACAGGAACTAATGACTTTGCTTACCCGAGCGGCACGGTTTCACTTTCAGCACTGGAGGTGGTGTAAGCTGTCAAAGCCTACACCTACCTGTCTCTCGGCGGGAGAAGAGCACCATCTCTACCAAATCCCTCCTTCTGCTTCCTCTGGTTTTCGGTTGTATTGAACCTGCTGCTTTGGATTAAAGTCTTCAAACCAGCAAGACGGTCTCGCATTGCAGAGGGACCACCGTCACTGAGCCACCTTGCAATCACTATGCTCTCCAGTCTCAGCTCAGGTGAAGCTGGGCAGGATTGGGTTGAATTAAGTGTATTCCAACTAATGCCCCTAGCCCTTTCTTTGTAGCAGGCAGTACTTGCCCCTCCTGTGAGTTAACACTGTCTGCTAATCCTTTGTCAAGCAGCCTCCAGCACTGCCTGCCACTGTCCTTGTCTTCGGCGTGAGACAGACAGCAGTATGCGACCTTCCAGCTGGGACAACTTCACGGTTTGCAGGCGGCTCCCTTGAAGTCTGTTGTTCCTAACTGGCTAGAAGCACTGGTTAACTGCAAGCCTTTTTCTTCCTGAGCAGAGGAGCTGCGGAATCAGATGAATAGCGTTCCTCAGTCTTTTACTGTGAAAAGATAGGATTCACCTGCTACAGGGCCAGTTTCCCTCCAGAAAGGCTATGTCTGCCAAGACTTGGCCACACCAAGTCCAAGAATGGTGCTGTGGCTTGTAGGTGTGACGTACTGCTTTGTCCAAAATCCTCTGGCCAGTAGTAGCATCAGCTTTAAGCTACCTGTTCTTCCTGAACTATCACCAGGCCTACTTAGCTGCTGCTTCTACTGTAAGAGACTTCAGCACTTTGGAGCCTTTCTGCAGTTTGTAGAAGTGCAAGCTGCAGTTGGTGTGTACATTTACCATAGCATTTTTATAGAATGAGACAGCACCCAAACCACAGAAGTCTCACCTGCTAATTCTATTTAAAACAGGTAAAGTAAATCTCCAGGAAGAC